TAAAAGTTTAAAATTCAACTATCACATAACTGAACGATGATTGTCAGTTTACTGTAGAAGCTTTTTACTGTCAGCCAGCTTATAGAGGACATACTATCCCCCTCTTCCACCTTTTCAAACAGTCCCCTGTGGTCTAAATGAAACATCTGTGCTGTGCTTTGGTCAAAATATAACATGAATCAAGCACCAGAGGAGGTTTGTGACCCTGTATAAACCAGCTCTCTCAGAACGCTCCGTTTTGGTGTGTGTGTCTCTTTAAATGCAATGAGCCTCCCCCTGAGTTTTCCCCGTAGACATCACTCCTCTGTAGCGAGAATAAAAATGGCAGACCTGTGCAAAAGTTTTGCTCTAGGCTGGAGGGGGAGTCCATGGGTGGAGACACCAGGGGAGGGGATTTTTTTTTTTTACCAGAATCCCACTGTGACATCACAAGGAGAAGATGCAGACCACAAACAAAGGACTGGATGGGTTTATTTCACATGTTGTGGGTCGGTAGACACTCAGGTTACACAAATATATGTTCAAAAACCTGCAAAAGTGGATTTTTCATAATATGTCCCCTTTAAGGTTAAGATGTTTTTTTACAATTTCATTAAAGTTAGGCACTTTCAGGCTTTCTCCCAAAGCCACAGAGCAAACCAAAAGTGGCTTGACGTTTTATGGGGGAAAATACGAAAATAAAAAAAGCTCTGTTACACAAATTTACAACATTTTTTAAACTTTGTTTTAATCTTTTTCTGTTTAAAATGAATGTTCATTTGACCTCTTTTGGTCTTGAGCAGTTACTTGAATAAATGAATTTGTTTAGAGGAGACTCTGCTAATAACTCATTAAAGAGGGGGGGAGTAGAGTACTTGGTTAATTTATTTAAAATATTATCAATTGTGAGTTTCTGCTCTTTCTCATCAGCATGCTCTCGTGACTTCCATCGCGGCCCGGTCATTATTCATTAACAGTCAGCTGTGTCCACACTGGAGTCAGGACCATGTGTTGAATGTTTAGTGGGTGATTCAGACCGGTCGATCCTCCGCTGGCTCTGACGTCACGTTTGACGGTTTTTGCTGGTTTGTTCGGTGCAAAGAAAACACATGACTTTGAATTCTAAAGACGGATAAGGGTGGAAATCTTGGAAGAACCGAGGCTGAATACTGATACCATATTTACTCTGAGAGAGGACTGCACCCAAGTGGTTATAAGAAGAAAACACACTGTAGGGTCCGGGTAGGCAAGGAAAATAAAATCTTATACAAGATACAACATCTAAGGCTCAAGGAGGACTATCTAGGGGGGGCGCCTGTAGCCTAGTGGTTATTGTGCACATCATGTGTGGGGGCTGTAGTCCTCCGAGCAAGTGGCCGGGGTTCGAATCTGATCTGTAGCTCTTTTCCCACTCTCTCTCTCTCCCTGATTTCTGGCTCTATCTCCTGTCCTGTCTTTACAATAAAGGCATATGAAGCCCAAAAATAAACCTTTTTTTCATTCTATCTGAATGTTTGACATCAGTTTATGTGAAAAAAAAACCTCTATAAATGTGAAAGGTAGAATACTACATACAGCCTTAAACGGGGCGGCTGAGGCTCAGTCGGTTGTCTCTCAACCGGAGGGTCAGGGGTTCGATCCCCAGCTCCTGAAGCCACATGTCCGATGTGTCCTTGCACAAGAAACTGAACCCCAAGTTGCTCCCCCTGCTTCATCAGCGGTGTATGAATGTGTATGAATGGGATTAATTACTTCTGATGGTCACTTTACTCAGCAGCCTCTACCATCAGTGTGTGAATGTGTAGGTGTGACCTGCGGTGACAAAAAGCTTTAAGTAGAAAATAAATATACAAGCTCGGTTTGGTTACTGTTAGATTTGAGGACGTTGCAGGAGAACAAGGATTTGATTTCCTAAAGGCAATCAGAAGGCAGAAGGGAGGAGGTGTGTTTGGTTGGCAGGTAGAGCTCGGTGTCATCTGCGTATCAATGAAACTGGATGATAAAATTTACGGACAAGAGGAAGGAGATAGATGGTGAACAGAAGGGCGCCCAGGAAATAATAACGCCTCATAATATAACTGATTGTTTGATGTTCAAATGAGTCACAGCTGATTAATCATTCCCCTCTCAGCAAGTCTTAGTCACATTTAAAAACATTGATTCTGAGGTAACCGTGATAGCCCGTTTTAATCAGTTAATTTAATTACATGTACACTACGGAGAGCATAGATTCGATAAGAATATGTATCCAGTAATCATCAGACGCTTGACTCACCAGATCACATAAAAGCCTGTGAGTGCCTCATAGTGGAATAATCATAGTGGAATATTAATAAACGTGGCGCCCGGTCACAGCATTTTCATCTCCTGTGAAAGTTGATTTAAATGTTTATTTGCTTGTCTAGCTGCATTCTGGTTTATTCAAACGTCTGCATAAACTGTAAGTAAATAACATAAAATCCTTATACTGTAGGTTTTCCTGACTGCGCTGCGTGTAAACATAATAAAAGACGATGAGCTTCTGTTTAATGAAATGAGTCCACAAACAGAAGCTTCCTCATAACGTTTAATATGTTTGATTTGGAAAGAGTGTACACCATACAGTATGAGGCCGAAACACGGCAGGTGAACGACATATGACTCACTCTAATTTTAGCACCAGTAGCTTTTTTGTTATAGCCCCCCTCCCCCCCCTCCGGTGTCATGTCATGTTTGTAGGGTTTTTATTGAGGTTACAGTCTCATGACTCGAGTATCTTAATGCTCCGCTTTTACGACCTGCCTGTTGACAGAGAGAGCCTCTTTAGATCTAATTTGTAAGCTGAGTGTGTGTGTGTGTGTGTGTGTGTGTGTGTGTGTGTGTGTGTGTGTGTGTGTGTGTGTGTCCGTCCGGAGACTTGCCTTCATTTTGCCATATTGTACATCAACACATTAAAAGTTAAAAGACTGATTAAATGTTGTATTTATAATTTTAAATAGAAAATTAAATGTAATCGTCATGGTTACTATCTCTGATTGGCCATCCTTGAAGGTACGTAGGTGTATACACTGGCTGAGTCCTATTTATAATGCTCCCTCTTACATACGTCGCTGACAAATTAGCTGGAGAAACTCGGGGTTAAGTGTCTTGCCCAAAGTCACGTCAGACATGGGGCTGCAGGAGCTGGGAATCAAACGCGAGGCCTTCCAGTTGAGAGACGACCGACTCTTCCACTGTGCGCCAGCCGCCTCTTTGCATAACTAATACAGATGAACTCAGAGTATAATAATAATAAGAAGAAGAATACATTTTATTTAAAGGCGCCTTACAGAGCAGAGATAAAAACAACAAAGTAACAACACAACAATAAAATTAACATTAAAAAACACAAATGTAGAGGATGTAAAGGAGTTATGAGAACGGGTGGAGAATGATCAGACTGAATATGCCAGTTTAAAACGATGTGTTTTGAGATGAGATTTGAAAATGGAGAGAGTGTCAATATTACGGATTTGTGGTGGGAGGGAGTTCCAGAGGTGGGGGGGCAGAGCGGCTGAAGGCCCTGGACCCCCATGGTGGACAGGCGGGCGGGTGGTGCAGTGAGTTGAATGGAAGAAGAAGACCTGAGAGTGCGAGTAGGTGTGTTGATGTGCAGGAGTTCAGAGATGTAAAGCGGAGCGAGGTTGTGGATGGCCTTGAAGGTGAGGAGCAGAACAGGTGATGCGATGGGAGCCAATGAAGCTGCTGTAGGACAGGGGTGATGTGATTAACAGAGGGCGTTCTGGTGATGATGCGAGCGGCAGAATTCTGGACCAGTTGAAGTTTGTGGATGGACTTGAGAGGGAGACCAAAGAGAAGGGAGTTGCAGTAGTCAATGCGGGATGTAACCAGGGTGTTGACGAGGATGGCAGTACTGTTGGGAGTGAGGGACGGGCGGAGTATCACAACTTGATCATGGTTGTGTTCTGGTGTTACTGTTATTGGTATTGGTGTCATGCTACCCACAGTGTTTGGCTCCCCCTGTGGACAAAGAGGTATGACTTAACCAAGTCAAAATCATGCACATCCCTAATTATGCATAACTCTTATTCTTCATCTAATCAAAAGGCAGAATTTTTTTTTTTTAAACTCCCGGATGGTCTGTGCCCAAAAAGAAATGAGAGGTTACGACTGAAGTTGTTTTGTGTACGAGGCTGTAATCATTTTTTATTTCTGCTGTAAAAATCGGCTTTTAAAACCTGTGTATGTGACTTATGTGGCATTCGGAACCAGCCTCAAGTGGACACTAGAGGAACTGCAGTTTTTTATGCACTTCAACATGGGCTGTTATTTTTAAGGTTGAGGTTGCAGCTTGAACTTCTCCCTTTACTGATTTGTCCTATACATGTGCAGGCCACAAATCCCATCATGTTTTCTTGAGACAGTCAACCGTTTAACTCACCTTGAATATTTGCCGCGGAAAAAAATGTGATGCTCGTCTGACACCTAATCTTTGGCAGCAGGTACAACTAATAAAATCTACAAATTAGTCAATGTTAATAATAATAATAATAATAATAATAATAATAATAATAATACATTTTATTTATAAGCGCTTTTAAAAACTCAAAGACACTTTACAATAGTTAAAACATAAAGAACAGCACAGTAAGGACAGACTAACGGACATCGCAGCATTACACACAAATCAAAAGATAACAACAATAAAGGTAAAACTACAGAAAACAGAAAATACATCACAATCATGTTAAAAGCTTGTTTAAAGAGGTGAGTTTTGATAGTGTTGATAATGTTGTCTCTGATGGTTTCCTTCCCTTTTTGCTTCATAAATAGGAATTAATATCAAACTCAAGTATATTTCAGAACCAGTTGAATATTCCTCACAGGAGCTTTGGACTTCCCTGTTTACACTCCAGCATAATTGCAGCCTACGGTTTTTTCTCCGAGTTGCAAATATGAAACTGCAGTATCGCCGCACAACCAGCAGGGGGAGTCAGAGATCTGTACATCTTGTGATTGAAAATGGTACAAATTGAGTATTCTTTGAGACCTCTTTTTCTCCCCTACACATGAAACCCTCCTCCACTCCGCTCTTCTTCCTCCTCTCCAGTTTATGTATCCCCTTTATAATCTTCTTTATCCAGCCGGCTCTTCTTCTTCTTCTTCTGTGGTCGTCTCCTCCCTCCCAGCTGCTCCGGGATCAGCTGCACGCCGGACGGATCTGTGTCTCCAGCTGTGTGGATCCAGTCCTGCAGACAGACAAGCAGGCAGGCAGGCAGGCAGGCAGGCAGAGAGGCAGGGTCGGCCATGTTGTTGTGTGGGGGTTGATGTAAGTTTAGTAGTAGGAAGTGAAGAAGCGACAAAGGGCTGGGACACTTCAGGATCTCACTTTTCCTCCTCTCCTCTCCGCTGTCATGCTGCTGCTGGTTTCTGTGTCTGCTCCGCCGCCTCCGCCATCCGCACAGCCTGCAACACTTGCGCTGCTTTGATTTAACTTCAGCACTAAAAAAAAACAAAAAACAAACAAACAAAAAAAAAAACCTCACCACAGTTTGATGGATGAAGTGAGAATGAAGGAGGCTCGGTCCCGGTTGGAATAACTCGGGATTTTTCTATTTCCGGATTTCACGAGGGGAGGTGAAGAAAACGGGAGAAATCGCAGAAGAGGAACGCGGATTTGAGAAGGTAAAAAAAAACAAAAAAAAACAAAAAAAAATGAAACGGGTCTTTTGTCAGAGCTGTGCAGGATTGGATAAGGATGGGCCGAAAAGCAGCTGCTCGCCAGTCTGACCTGTCACCAACAAAGGAATAAACCTGTCTTATTACCATGCATTTACCTGCCTGTAGGTTATTACCCTCCTTAAAGCCGCAGCTGTGTATTAACCACCAGCTCATTATTAATAGGTGAAAAATCAGTTAACACAAATCATGTGCTTGAAATCCCACAGGAATATTAGAGCAGGCATATCAGATTGCAGATTTAAAGTAGGGCAAGGTCACTACATCCCTGATATTTAAGATTATAACAACCATTTAGATATCCTGCTCTTAGCCTATTGGTTGACTTGAGATGGGTTAACATCTGTAAAGGAGATTTATTTGTAATGCAATAATTATAGCGGTAAAGCTAGAGGTTGGAAGTTAAAACTACTATGAAGAAATTCTAATGCATTTGAAAAAACAGTCAGCCTGCTGCTGATCTGTTTTAACCTCTCTATCGTAGAAGAAGATGTGTACTACTTATTGTTTAAATATAACGCCACACAAAAAGTGCCACCTCATCATTTTCTAATAACTAACCCAGCAGTGTTTGACTCATGCTGATTCAGATTATTGTCAGATCACTGTCGGGGGGGGATGAAGAGGAGGAGGAGGAGGAGGAGGAGTTGGTTCAGGTTCATAGTGATGCTGTCACTTTATACACTGATTACAAACTCACTAATTAACAGCTGAGTGACAGTTTTCTGTGACTTCTTCAGGTTGTGCTGTTTCTGATGAATTGTCCTCATTAAGTTTGACAGTCGAGGTAAACACATCGTCAGGCACAACATTCATTCAAAGGATACAGCTACAGTGTTATTGCTGTTGTTGGTATTATGGGTTAGGCTACACAAAGCAGTAGTACACCTGGCATTGCAGGTTAGCAGTGACAACAGTCACGTTTTCAAAATTACATCTTAAACTGTAGTGCAAGAATTGTAACTCGAGGATCGATGGGTGCCCTGTGCACAGCCATAGCACTGATCCGGGGTGCAGCTAGACAAGGAACAGACCACTTTCAAGATTAGAGTAATCCACACCAGGATTGTTCAGATTCTGGTGTGTGCTGGATTACTCTGAAGTAAACCCAAACGCTCTTACCTGAGGGAACCTGAGGAAGCCACTGTGCTTAACGAGTTCTTATATGAAGTTTTTGCAGCCAAAGGAAGATTAAAGTTCCTGTTAATTTACTTAATGGTCTTTTTTCAGGACACATTTAGTTTTCAACCTGACTCAGGTTATCTGCTGCCAGAAAGCAATTTTAATCACAGACATACAAGCTGCTGTAACTCACAACTCGATCTGCTTCTTTTAATTTGATGTAACATCTGGAAAAGGTTTTTCCGTTGGTCACGATGTTTTTATAAAATGATGTTGACAAAATCATTTTGATGTAATTGCAGATCCCTTAACAGTTTAATGAGGTCAGTATCAAGCGGACACCAATCTGGTGCCTGGGATTATGTTGAAGGTTCTATGACATTTAATCTGTGACGAGCAGACGATGTTTCATCAAAGCCAGATCACAGGATCAGATTTTCTGCTTTTTTAGCCTTCAGGAAGATTGTTGCACTGATTTAATGCAAATAATTTACATTTGATAAATCTTAAAAATAGGCTGAGAAGAGAAGCACTACTTCTTTGGATATGGTTATTGGCCTCATGTTTTATGAGCTGTCGTGACCTGATAACTGCTCTCATATACGGCAAACCGAGGGGCGTCCAAAACGTCCGTGTGGTGGGGTTGCCTTAAAACCGCCTACCTTCTCTGGTCCAAACAAATTTAGAGCATTCAGGACCAGAATCTAAAGTTAGAAGGAGGACATACTGGCTGCTGCATTGTTGTCAGAGAAGCCAGCACTTCAACATAGCATGTTTCCTTAATCTCTTATCATATAGTAAGGTCACTTTATAATTTCATTCAGTAGATATCTTACTGATTAGCTGGTCACTTATACAAAGAGATGTTACAGGCTCTACTTTCTCTAGAAAGTGAGTAAGGCTCCTCCCACTGATTGACCTGAAACCTGAAGAAATAAAACAGGTTTCATGAGCAAATAAGATGATTTTTTTCTACATCTTGTAATAAATGATAAGGTGTCTGTGCCTAAATGAGTAACTTAAGGTCTATCTATGCGGTGTGTTTCAGTACAGTTGACTACATCTGAATCAAGAACTTCTTTAATAATCACACTGTAGTGAGTATACTCTTCAGGGAACGAGCCCGATCCAGACTGGCTTTCATAGACTCTGCATTAGATGTTGACAGTTCAAGCAAGCGGCCCTGTTGTGTGCTGACATACGGATGATTGTAGACACTCGGAGTCCCAAAATAGCTCGCAGTTATCCTCGACTCAGGTGCCAGGATTCAGGTATTATCAAGAGACCTGTTATCTGAGAAAAATGTGTGATGTCTGTTCTCTAGCAGCTTAAAATCTCACATGAACACTACAAAGAGGTCTTGAAAAGAATGAGGCTGATATTTTTCCAAGCAGGAAAAGTCGAGCGCTCTCCGGTCTCTCCACTCAGACATACTGATTACTCATTTGCAGGGCCGACTGCGTTTAATATTTCTCAAATCAAACTCTTTACAAGTCGTCTCTTGCCCTCAGACTGTTGCAAGCTGCAGGATCAGTTTACTCTGAGCGTGCCTGCAACAGCGCTCTACACCCAGCGCAGAGTAAATCTCATTATGAACCATTTATTGATGTTTCTCTCGAAGCTCTGAGGCTTCACACCCATATAGCATCACATGACATTTCCCCAGACTCGCTTTTAACTCTTTGGCATCAGAGGAATGTGGTGGATGTTGGGCAGGCAGCATCTGTTGCTGATCTGAAGCCGAGTAAAGCTCCAGAGATCCTCCTCGTCTGCGCCTGTGGCTGTGGCGTCAGCCGCTAACAGCTGTCCAATGAGACGCAGGGAAGGGTTTCACTCAGAAGCAAAATATGTTGTTGTTTCTTCTATAATGTATAAAAAATGTGAAGACTTTGGGCACCACAAGCGGGCCTGCATTCGGTTTGCTTGATGTTCTATCTAGAGAGTAAGCTTTTGAAGATGTTTTTTTGGCCATTTAGAGCTTTGTAGGTTGGATTTTAAATATTTAACTTCTTACAAGGAGCCAGTGAAGAGAAGCAAATATGGAAGACTTTTTCCTAGTTCTTGTAAATGTCCTGATACATAATTTTGCATGCTTGTTAAGGCAGCATGTGATGTAGTAATCCTTGCTAGAAGTATCAAATGCATGGACTAGTTCTCTTCATCGTTGTGTGTTATATCATAGACTGTAAATGTTAATGGACGAAGCCTGATGGATGTCAACCATCAGTTCCTGCAGCTGGCTTTGGAAACCCATCGATGGCTATTGTCATGCTGGAAATGCTGTCTTATACCCTAACTTTCAGTCAATCTAACAACAGGAGCTGGAGCTGAGGTGGGTTTGAAGCCTCTTGACAAACCGTTACATCACGCCGGCCTGTCAGTCAGGTCAGCTACGCGCCTTATTGTGGATAACGCTTATCCTTTATAAAATCAAAATGGATGAGTTGTAAAAAAAATTGTAGGAAAGCATACTTAAGCTCATGCCAGCTTTTTGTTTCTGACCATGAGGACTGTAAACCCGGGATTTCTCCCCTACATGTCATCTCAGTCTTCAAAAATTGTGATCCGTGTCTTCTTCATGTGCCCGAACGTCCAGATACCAGCGAGTGTGAGTTGTGCTTTTTCTCAGTCTTATCAGCATTTTTGTGAAGCCTGTGTGGAATTCTCACATTCTGGCGCCGAGCGGCGGGGGGAAGAAAAGCGTAGGAAGGTCATTGATAAGAGCAGTTCAGGTTGGTGTTATCACTGTAACAGAAGAATATGTAAAGTTTTGATTTCATAGCTTCAAGTTTGAAAAGCTGGAATGAATGTTTTTCTACCACAGCTGGTGATGGAAGCCGATTCCTGGCAGCTGTCTGATTTAGGTGTAGTGTGCAGAGCTCTTTCAAAGCCTCTCAGTATGGAAACTATGTGGGATGCTGGTGGAAACAAGCAGGGTCAAAGGTCACTGAAAGGATCCTCTGATGTCCGTGTTTGACTCAGTCCCATCGGGATTAACATCTGGAGCCTCCTCAGACATCGACTAGCACATGTAGTTTTGGTTTAGTATACGTCCTGTTCGACTTTGTGTTTTGAATATCCTCCTGCGGGGAAAGAGTTTTGGCCAAGACGTTCTAAAAAAAAAAGTCAGAATATGTCAAAGACTCCCAAAATGTGAATTTATTTGACTGCTGGAGAGAAGCGGTAACAGATGTGGAAAAGATTGTTGTTTAGGTCGAGGTTCTCTTTTCTGTTTTGTAACAAAAGTTATGAACCAATATCTGAACACACGTGAAGTGAAAAACCTGTTGTTGACTTTTGGTTCAGCTGCACATGAACACCAGATTAAAAGTATATAACTGGTTTCAGATACCCACATTCAAGGCGGGGGGGGTTATGTCTTCATTTGTATTTCTTGAAAACACAGAGCTGTTGCTTGTACTGATTATGTCTTACAAATACATGAGTACACGTCTTTGTTTTGAAGATTTCACGGTCATGTCGACTGAAAGAAGAATTGTTTTGCCTTTTGCTGATCGTCCCAAAACCGTCTGCTTTTAATCACACGGCTTTGATTAAGGCTGAGAGAACAATCAAGCTTACTTTGCCCTCATTTTCTGTCTCAATCTGTCTAACGAAGAAGAGCTAGGACAATAGGACCACGCCTTTCCAATCAGATAGAGGAAACATCTTCAGTATACACACACATGTGTTTGTATTTAGTGTGTGTATGATAACGCTCCTCCTTGAAACTCTTCACCTTCCTCCCTCATTGTTTCCAGCTGGCTCTCACTGGTGTGTGTTTGCATGCAATGTGCTGTTGTAGGTCATGTTATCATCCTGAG